GTTTACTGCCGTATTTCCACCGTATACGGCCGTTTACGATGCAAATACGACCGCAAACGGTGATTTACGGCGGTCATATACGACTGTATACGGTCGTTTACGGCAGTCGTAAAACTGGACCTGGGTAGTGTTTGTGATGATGTCTTAATGGATTTTGATGCATTGGTTGCCGTCCAGTCTCGTTTGGGTACTGCTGCTGGCAGCAGAAGTACCCAAACTTGATAACGTACCCAAGCTTTTGATAACATCCGCAGATTTATCCATAACAATAAGTTATTGTTATGGATAAACATCAATAATTGCACGTCTTTCACCATTTTATAAACATGAATCATGTGGCCAGGTTCGATTCTTTTGTTTGTTTGTTATTGGCAAAACAACGTAGAATAATCTAGTCGCTAATATGATTCTTCGTTTCTTTTTTAGGATACACTATGTAGAAAAAAGGGAGAATGGCTAGCCAAAATGATGTATAGATTCGGTAAGTAAGGAGAAAAATTGGACTAATTGCTACCTCCTTCTTCCTTGTTAAGATCTGAGCGGTACACTAGTTGATAAGGGTGTTCTTTTCAAGGTATTTCTCTACCGTAGTACGACGAGGCTCAGTCAGTTTGTGAAGGAGAGACAATTTAGTTTGCGTGTAGAGAAATCAGGAAGAACAGAGAATTACACTAGAACAGGTGAGTTTGAATCACTTTAAAGAAAAAAGAAGAGTAGGGGCGGATTGAGGTTGTTCATAAGTACAAACTGAGCAGATAACCAACAAAAATACTAAAACTATTTGAATTCTAAAGCCGTAATAAATGAATATATGTCATTAGAAATGCTGATCCTCCTCCTAGTTCTTGCTTACGTAATGTTTTGATTTATAGTTTTACATTTTTTTTTTTTTTTCTCTTTCTTACATTCTTGATTCTTTTTGATGGTGTATAACAGGAGTGAGTGCGTGTTAACGGATGTGTACGTATCAGATATGGGCACGATTGAATTCAAACGCTATAAAACTCATTTCGGTTTCAATTCAGCTAAATTTTGAACTAAATTTCGTGCCGGTTTATAATATGCAAACCGAAAAAGTAGGAGTGACGGTGAGCAGTGGCAGAATTTTTCGACATTTTTCCTTTCTTTTTTGACGTGCAAAACAAAGAAACGTTCAGAAACAATGAATGGGGATTATTCTTCAAAATACACTTGAAAAATACAAATAAAGTAGAGGAACAGGAGCCTATCGTAACAGTGTGTCTTTTTAACAGCTCCTACTCACGTACTCACCTTTTAATTCAGGATTTTCTCGTTTTCGCATAACATGTTTATAAAGATGCTTCGCTGTTTTGAATCGTTATAGAGTCTCTGCTAAATGTTTTTTACTTAGTATAGTAAAAATGGAGCAACAATAATAGGTCGTAACCACCACGACTCTTCAAGCTTTATTTCTGAAATTGTTCTCTTTTGATTGATCGCTGTTCCTTCGACTGAATATTTGTACAAAAAAACAATTTTAATCTATCGTTCTTTGCAATTTCCCATTTTTAAATAAATGTGACGTCCAACAGTCTCTTTCACACTGTTTCCACCCACTTATGTCTAGGATCACATGAAGTAAACACATCTCTGATCCAATAGCTGATGCTGTTGAGGATATGACTACACTCTCAAAGAAAAAGATATGTTTATTTCTTTGTTTTAAACTAATTCTCATCAATAAATTTTTCTTCCGTTCTTTTTAAAGGTTACATTTGCCGATACTACAGTTAATGTTAATGATATGAATGGTACTGTGAATCATAATACGTTGAATATAGTCAATAATTTTGCAGCACAGATGCTAACATTAACATCACCAACATCGCCAACGTTACTTCATGAACATAAGTATGTTGTAATTCATGAGTTTGAAGAGGCAGATATCATCTTTATTATTTTACTTTCAGACTAAAATGTTCAATGATGCCAGCTACAGCGAAGCAACCAGTGGAACCTACTTCATTATCGAATTTATCATCATCCTCAAAAACTGATAACAAAAATCCTCAACATTATCATCAACAACACCACCGTCAACTGCAAAAACCAACACTGAACCAAAAGCTCCACTACCACCACAGAAAGTAAGGCTTAAAGCACTTATCTTCGAGCCAGACTGGTTTTTCATCAAAAAAAACAATAGGACATTAATAGGACATTTTTTCTATCGCACCAAAATTATTAATTTTAAAGAAAAATCAGTTGAAGACACTAAGCTTCAAAAATATATATAACGACTCTTGCTTTATTCTTTTTAGAATACTGACGAACAAGGTTTATTGATGGATGAATTAAATGAACTGAAAAAGCACAAGTTATTTTGGCAACAATTGCAAGAAGACCTAGAATTGTGTAAAAAAATAGAGCTTATAAAGAGTATCATGATGATCCATTTATGCAGTCGATAGATAAATTAAGTGAACTGGAAAAGCAAAAGTTATTATGGCAAGGATTGAAAAAAAAATTGAACTGTGTAAAAAAATAGGGCTTATATAGACTCTTATACTCCCTTGTTTGTTTGTTCTTTTGTATTCAATCACTTGAATGGTCATTTTAGTTTTTTTGTTTTTGTATTTTGTTTCACCTGGTGTATATTTGATTCCTGAAATATGATTAAGACAAATGAGAGAAATATACGTTTTTATTGGTTTCTACCGCCTTCTCTACTAAGAAGTTCATTGAAATCACTGTTAGACTCTTAGAAATGAAATGACAGAACGATAGCTATTTTGTACTTTTAAGATAAGTAATTTGAAGTCAGAAATTAAAATGAAATTCATTTGGCATCTGGAACGTACGTACGAGAGTAAGTCTTTGTACAAACACAAAACTTAAAATAAATAAATGTTCTTGTTTTCTTTTTATAGTTATTCAAATTACTAAACGAACGGCAACATCAACAACAAATACTCCAGCGTCAGCTAGTGGAAAGAAAGTACCAAAACCACCACAGAAAGGTTTGTTTAATTCACTTTGGATTGAATGAGTTTTAGACAAGAAACTAAGCCTCCAAATGCTGTCAAAGTTTGACAAAATCAGTTATTAAAAAGAGCTGTCCCCTTCTTGTAAACTGTTTTGTCGAAGTGAAAAATTTAAATTACGTGAGTTTCACTGCACATATTACAAAAATCAGCCGTATCAATTTTTGACAAGCGATTTAGTAAGCTTGTTGATTAATTTGGAAATGGATGTAGACGCACATGCTTTCTAATTTCAATTTTGTAGTTGATTTTAATACTAGTTTATATATCGTCTTTTTTCATTGCTTTAGACCAAATTTGGGCCATTGAAAGATGAAGACCGTATCTTTATGAATTTATATGGCCGCCACGATTGGCATTTAAAAGGTTCAATGGCACGAGTAAGATTTTTGAAAGATGAATATGTGTTCTTTTGTCTTTATTGTTCTACTTACAGTTAGACTAGATTGGGGTTTCCTTTTTCTCTCTATTACTTTCTATTTGGGCGATTGGTATAAAACAAAAGAAATTGTTTTAAAAGGATCAAACTGGATTATTGAGGAAGTAAAAAAGAGCGGCTTACGTGAACGAGGTAAGATATGCTACAAAGTTCACTGAGAATCAACAAAAACAAATCTGTTGATTTTCCTTCGAATATTAGGTGGCGTCGGTTTTCCATCTGGTTTAAAATGGAGTTTTATAAATAAGCCATCAGATGGACGACCAAAATATGTTATGATCAATGCTGACCAAGGTGTTTTAAAGGCAAAGTGTTTGCTACGTTTTGTTAAACGAAAAAACACTACATTCTCTTTCATCCTGGTTTTCTCCTTCTAAAAGGCGAACCCTGAACATGTAAAGATCGAGAAATAATGCGACAGGAACCACATAAATTAATTGAAGGTTGTTTAATTGCCGGCAAAGCAATGGGAGCACGAGGAGGTAAAAAGACCAAAAATTGTAAAAGAAGGCAGAGAACTCACATGTTTTTTAATTTTCAGCCTACATCTACATTCGCCGTAAATTCTACAATGAATGTTCAAACCTACAAGTAGCTCATGAAGTGAGTAGATGTGAAGCTTAGGTAAAACTTAGGTACTGTTCATAAATGTCTTCTTTGTGTTCTCGTTTGTATTTCTAGGCTTATAAAGCAGGTCTCATTGGAAAGAATGCTTGTGGTGATTTCTGCAGAAAGCTTTGGTTTATTTAGGGATTTTAGTTATCGGGTTAAGAAGCATTTTTATAATAAATTAGTTTTTGAAAATCATGTGAGTATGATATGACAGAGAATAGCTTATCATGTTGACGAATTCTATCTGTGAAATCTATCAGTAGACAATTTCTCTATGATACGAAGAAATCTAGTTCTTAAAAAAAGTCTTTTATCAAACATTATGATTCGGTTTTCGTCTTCTTCAAGTTTTCAGATGAAATTTCGATTCCACAAGTGTTGCTGTACCTGCAGCTAGGCCTGATTTATTAACATGGTGCGTTTAGTTACACTATTGTGTGTATCTAAAATTTTTAACAAAATTTTCTTTATTTTTCATGTTTAGCCTCAAACGACATTACAATTATCAGAAGCATTCGTCGTGCTTAACCGATACCTTCACATAACGGCTCAGCTTCATCGTCGAATATTAATGAAAAGTTATAGAAATGTATTACTGGAAAAGCATTCTAAAGTCTTTGCTCAAGTGTCAAAAACCCAGCTCAACATCACACTGAAGTCTAAAATTCTATCATCGTATTTTAACAAATTTACAAATACATTAAGAGCCAGACAATTACTCGACGAAGAAGACGAGGCATGTTTAAAATTGATAAAAAAAAATTATAAATATATTAGCGATAATTTCGTCCACAAGGTTGATCGAACAATGATTAGAAATATCATCTTCGTAACAGACACAACGGATGTTTACACATACAGAATTATG